ACAGGCAAGAGGCCAGCTCAGTGTTCAGCCTCTTGGGAGAAGCAGAGTCGGGCAGGGCCACAGGAACAGCATCGTCGGCTGGGGACAGTGTGGGCTCCAATGACCAGGCCCTTCACCCATCTGAAGCCACTCGGCAGCCTTCTTGGCTGCCTGGTGCGGCTGTGACCCAGACACAGCAGCCACTGTCTGCCCAGCAGCAGGGTGGGGCGCCGGGCCCGAGGCCGGCTCTGCGGCCTGTCAGGAGATTTACACCCGACTCTTAACAGCCTCGCGGAATCGCAGGCGGGTGCCGGGCCTGGGGTGGTCTGCTGTGAATCGGCCCCCTGTGAGCAGATGAAAGCCGGGTCGGTGGCTGGGCAGGGAAACGGGCTGGCCGGGGGCCAGCGGGCAGGGAGGCCAGCGGTTCCCTCCCGGGGCTGCAAGTGGGGCTTCCAGCGGCCTGGGGTTGATTAGGAGAATCCGGGAGGTCTGTGGTTAACCCCTTCCCTCCTGCTGGGCAGACTCCCCTCCCCTGCTCCTGGCCCAGCGGACACTCCTGGAGGTTGTGGGGGTCTTGGGAGCCAGGGACCTGGAGCAGTTGCCTCTCCTCGGCCCAGGAAGAAACTGCAGAAATTCTTAAGGCCCTCAAAGGCCCAACTGTGGGCTTAGGGTCACTCCTCCTGCCCACGCCAAGCCCTCGGCAGCCACTCTGCTGGCTGCCCACCTCAGGCCCCTGGAGGCCACCTTTGAAGGTCACCTCTTCAGGCGGCCTCCCCACCCCACCCCTTGTCCCATCCCTTGCACCCTCCACTCCTTCTCCCAGCTTTGTTTTTCTTCATAGGACTTCGCACTACCCGAAATGACATTAATGAATCATTTGCTTATTCATCAGCGATTTATGGAGCGGCTATGAAGGGCTCCTGCCTGCATTCCCGGGGTCTAGCTATACCAAGGCCTGGCAAACCAGAGAAAAGAACTCTGCCCTTGTAGAGCATAAACAATAGAGGGCTGGGCACAGTGGCTCACGCCTGTAATCCCAGCACATTGGAAAGCTGAGGTGGGCGGATCACTTGAGGTCAGGGGTTCAAGACTAGCCTGGCTAACATGGTGAAACCCTGGCTTTATTAAAAATACAAAAATTAGCTGGGCGTGGTGGCGTGTGCCTGCAATCCCAGCTACTCGGGAGGCTGAGGCAAGAGAACCTCCTGAACCTGGGAGGTGGAGGTTGCTGTGAGCCGAGATCTTGCCACTGTACTCCAGCCTGGGCAACAGAGCAAGACTCCATCTCAAAAAACAAAACAAAACAAAATGGGAGCAATGAATAACAAATGAAACAAATTATCGAACTAGGTAGCACCTTAGAAGGTGGTAGTGGTAAGTGCTCGGGGTGACCTTCAAGCCAGGAAGGAAAAGGGGAGAGGTGAGGAAGGCTGTGTGTGTGTGCCACTTGAAACAGGGGCGCTGCTGAGAAGTGCACAGGCTTTAGGGTGTGAAGGAGTGGGCCATGCATCTGGGGGTGTCCGGGGAGGAGTGTTCCAGGTAGAAAAAAGAGCAGTGCAAAGGCCTCCGAGGCAGGAGTGTCCTTGGCAAGTTCAAAGACCAGCCAGGAGGCCAGGGTGGCCAGAGCAGGGTGTGGGAGGGAGGGCAGGGGGTAACGGGCACAGGCTAGGTGGGAGTGAGGTCCGTTCCCCCACCGTGGTCCATGCCAGACTTGCCAGGTGTCGCAGCCCCTCCTGCTGGGATCCTGGACCCGGCTCAGCAACCTGCTTCTTAACCAGCCCCCAGTGACTCTGAGGGACACCAGCACTGAGAATCTCAGAAACCAAGGCCACACAGGCAGGAAGCCACCAAGCCAGCCTTCAAACCCAGCTGGCCACCTGGCTGCAGGCCGGGCACGCTCTGCAGGGCACCAGAGGGGAACGACCTGGCCACAGAACCCACAGCCGGCCTCAGGGATCTACAGATTCCCAGTCCTTGGCTTCCAGGACCAGCCCCTACTCCCACTTCACCCCACAGCAGGCTCAGATTTCAGAGGGTCGGAGGTGGCAAAACAGGAAAAAAGCCGAGAAAGGAAGTCCAGGAGCACAAAAGGCCTGTAACAACCCACGAAGGCTGTGGGGCACTTCCTGGGGCCAGGCCATGGTCAACCCAGTCAACCTTCACAGCGACTCCCCAAGGCAGACACCAATACCATGCATTTGACAGCTGAGCGCACTGAGGCGAAAAGGCCCTTCCAAGTGGCCCTCACTTCCCGGAGCCCCCGGTCGGAGCCCCCAGGGTGTGCTGACGGTCACTGTGGGCAAGAGGTTTTACGCCCTGGCCTCTATCTTCTCCTGGGGCTGCCCAGCAGAGCAGTTAATGGGGATTTTGCACAGGGCCTGGCACAAGGGAGGAGGTTGCTCAGTGACCAGGAGCCACCGAGCTGGTCCCTTCACTCTTATAGATGGGGACACTGAGGACCAGAAAGGCCAAGGATTTGTCCAAGGTCAAAGACAAAGGAATGGGGCTGCAACCCAGGGTATGGGGGGCACCTGATATCAGGGCCAGGATATGCCAGGGACTGGAGCAGGCAGGTCCTAAGGATGGGGGACCTAGTAGACTGCCCCCCCGGCACCCCATCTCTGCTCTGTTTTGTAAATAAAACCATTGATCCAGCCCCTGCCGGGGCCCAGAGAGGGAGGCCACCTGTTGCAGGTGGTGCAGCAAGCCTGGCCTCTGATGCCACGGGTCTCCAGACCCAGCCTCTGTCCCTCCCTCTTGTTGCCTCATCCTGAGTCACCCCTCTACCTCTCAGCTCACCCCAGAAAGGGCCATCTCAGGTCTGGGAGACCCAGGCAGGGAAGAGCAGGCAGGGGATTCCGCTGGAATCTCCCACAGGCAGGGCTGAGTCTCCACGCTCATCCAGGGGCCCCAGCAGGGCAGAGTGGGTGGCTCTGGGGTGGGCTGAGCTGAGCATGGAGGGCTGTCAGAGGTGCCAGCCTTGCTCGGTCCCTTGGGATCTTCCCACCAAGCCTCAAGACCCCTATCCCGAGCATCTACCAACTGGGTGCTCCCCTCTTTCTGGAGTGGCTCCTGAGTGCCACATCCCCACCCTGAGCCCAACTGTGGCTCCTGCCCATGCTGACCCTGCCACCTCCTTCAATGGAGACTTGATGCCTGCAGTTCTATTACCAAGGCAGCCACCCAGCTGCTGCCCATGGGAGAGCTCACCGTTGACTAATGGTGGTGGTAGGAGTGTAGGAAGGGGGCTGGGTACTGAGGACAACAGAACGCTGCGGACCCAGTGACTCATGGGACCCCTCTGTGCTATGGCCATGTGCTGTCCACTCGTCGCCCCGACCTCCAGGCCCGCAGGGTGGGTGGCATCATCACACTTCATGGAGGAGGGAGCTGAGGCCCAAAGAGGTCAGTGACTTGCCCTAGGTCACACTGCAGATAACAGCCCTGGCTAAAGTGACAGATTACCCGCCAACCCCCACCGCTAAGAGATTTCTATAGAGTTAGTCATTGTTTCCTCGCAATAGCATCATGAGGTAGCTGCTTGTGTGAATCTCATTTTTCAGTTCAGGAAACTGAGGCATGGAGATGACTAGCCCAAGGTCCCACAGCCAGGAAGGCTGACTCACAACCTGCTCTCTGCACTATGGTGGTCTACGGCTCACGAGGGCTTCCCAGCCATCACTGCCTTGAGACTCTGGGAGTCACCGATCCAGTTCTCAGGTGACAAAACTGAGGCCACAAAGAAGACATGACTTGCCTAGGGTCATGAAGCCCAAGGCCAAGAGCATGGGCTGGTCCATGTCTGATCTCAGCAGGAAGGAACCGGCAGGAGTGTGGTCAGAGCAAGTGCTGGCTGGGAGCTGACCGTGCAGGCCTGAGGATGTGTGCAGGGGCTCAGGGCTGGCAGAGGTGACCCTGAGAGCCCTGGAGAGAGACTCTTCCAGGTCTGCTGGGCTCAGCTCCAAGCCTTTCCCAAGTGGGCAGATGCTGGGATGGGCCCAGGAATTGGATGATGGGGTGCCAGGCCCAGCTGACTCCCAAGAAGGGAGAGGCCAGCCCAGGGCGAGGCCTCCTGCCCCAGCCCTGCTCAGCCTAGAATCTTGTGTCTGGGAAGACTGAAGCCTGGCGCGCTTCCCTGCACCTTGCACAGCATTAGGTCCTATTCAGGTACCCAACTCCCTCAGGCCTGGATTCTCTCCTCACTAGAACTTGGGTGACCCCTCTGGCTCTGCTGTCCCAAAGATCCCATTCAATAGTGACTTCTAAACTGCAAAGGGTCACATTTCTGAGAAAGAGAGGGGCAGGCCAACCCTCAGTGCACCAAGCTGAAAAATGCCTCGGGGAGGTGGATGGAGGAGCTCAGGAAGCTGGCTGGCTCTGTTTCATTCATTCACTCATTCGTTCTGCGGACACAGAGCCTCGGCCTACCCTCCCACTTCCCCAGCCTTAATCTGACCTTCAGCAAGCAGAGAGAATTAAACACAAACTTGCTTTGATGGACCAGAATTCCCTGCTCGTAGGGTCTGGGTGCCAGGGCTCTGGGTGACCTGAGCGAGTCACACGCTAAGATTCAAAGACCCAGTTTCCAAGGAAGAGACCTGGCCTCACATCCAGGCCAGCCCCTGACTTTTGATCACTCCCGCCCTCCACCCATCTCTCAGCCACCGGCAGAGAAGCTGGGGGCACAGTAAAGCAAGTCTGGCCCAAGCTCCATCCAGAAACACACAAGCACCCCACAAATGCCACATCTGAAAGCTTTCTCCATCCTTTTCCTTTCCTGGACTCCCTCAGCAGTCTCCACGGACAGTCATCTCCACTCCCGGCCTCCTCGCTGGCCTCCCACAGACTCATGCTAAGCCCAGATGGTTTAGGGGTTTGCCAGCAGGCACGCAGTGTGTGGGGGCACAGAGCCAAGGACTGCAAACCCCCAGGAGGGCTCCATCTGTCTGACCTAGCTGCCGTCCTTCCCGCACTGGACCCTCCTCCCCCATGCAGGGGCTCAGGGGCTCGGTGGCACTTACGTCTGGGCTCCCGGGGTCCGTCCACGGTCACCTTGATGGCTCGGTGGTAGGTGGCCACTTGGGTGGGGTTGGTGAACACAGTGATGGTCAGGGTGAAACTCTTCCCTGGGGAGAGTGGGGGATAGAGGCAGGCAGTTGGCACCTGGAGCTTCCACAATACCCTGCTCTCCCACCTGTACCTACTCCTGGAAGGCCCTAACTTTCAAGAAGGGGCACTCTGTCCTCTTTCAACCTGGGCAAAAGATAGGGCTCTGGGTGAAGCTCAAGCTGCTGGGCTTGGCATTCAAGGCCTGGGGGGTCTGATGCCAACTTTGTCACCTCCCTGCCCCATGCCGTGGCCACCCTGGCTTATGTTCCCCGCTTCTTGGCCTTTCTGCTGTCTCTTCTATTCAGAAACCCACAGGATTTTACGGCGGGGAGCAGGATGGGTATATTCTATTTTCTGAAAGTAATTGGTGATCTTTGTAGAAAAATTCAAGAACATAGAAAATACAAACAAAGAAGAAAAGATCCTCCCACGGTTCCACTAGCTGGAGATTGACACCGTTACCATTCGGCGTTTTCCCTTCCAGCTCTTTTTGTATGGGTTTGTATATTTACACAGTTGCAGTGCTACTAAAATACAGATTTTCATGCTTTTTTTTTTCATTTAACATCACATCAGAAGTACTTTCCCACGTCATTAAAACTCCATAAACTTCATTTTTAATGGCTGCGAAATATTTCAACTCAAGGAAGCCTCATCTTTTATTTATCTACCTCCTTACTCTCGGGTATTTACATCGTTGCTAATTTCTTATTGATGTGTGCAGCTGGAGCTGAAAAAGGACTGATTTGGGAGCTGCAGACATTTCTTCTGTAGACACAACTGTTATTTCCAGAATGTTGTTCTATTTTTAGATAGACATTTGGCTCCAAAGTCTCCATTCAAAATTCCTGAGAGGGGAAAAAACTTTTAAAATACTGTTTTGTTTTTTTTTTACCATTTAAAATAAAATGAAAGTGACCTTCTGTTTATAAAAATCTTTGTCTGCATCTCTGCTTATTTCCTTAGAATAGATTCCAAGAAGCGGTGAGTGATTTCACAGCAGCAGAGGGTTGGGACATATTACGGGCCCTGATCCCTCTTGGAGGGAGATGACTCTCTGGAGAGATTTAGTCGTCACCCTCGCGTGTGAGGCTGCGTCACACCCCAGGGACGTGTCTATCAAGATGGAAGATCTTTTACACTCTCTTGATTTTGTTTGGCTTTTTTTCTACTACTAGTGAGACTGAAACTTTTTATATGATTATTATCCATCATAATCCAACACGTATTATTGCTTCATGTTCTTTTAGTTTCCTGTGAAGGTTTTAGTGCCTTTTAAAAATCGCTATATATTAAGCTTGTTAATACTTTCCATGCTATATTTGTGGCCATCAGTTTCCCGGGGGCACCGGCCTGCACAGTTTGCCTTCGCACGCCGGGCAGTTTTTCATTTTCACTTCTATTTCTTGTTCTTCTGTCATTTTATGTTTAGACAGGTTTCTCCGTGTAGAAAGCAGTTTATGAAGATTTACTTTCAACAGTCTTCTCTCTACTTTCTACAGTGAATTCTCTGACGTGTCTGGGAGCTTACGGGTCTGGGTAAAAGTCCTCCTCTCACCCTATTCTCTATTATGATCCACAGCCTCATGCTCTGTGAGATTGGTGGCAGGGAGATTTATCCCCCATCCCTGCCTCTGGATCCCAAGTACAGGTCTGGGAACTCCCTGTGGGTAGGGGCCAATGGTCTCACACTCTCACCTGTACCCCAGGGCTGGCACTGGATGGTCACCGAGGGAGGCTGCCCAAGCGCATCCCTCTGGTGTCCCCCTGACAAGCCTCCAAGGTAAGCAGGTAGGTTTCAACATCCCCATGTTGCAGGTGGGAGATGAAGCTCAGGGTGGAGACCAGTATCTCACAGTTCTCTTTGCATGGCCGGGTACTTGTTGGTCAACTGATCAAGTGAAAAGCCTAGACCCAGAGGCAGGAGAATCCAGAACAAAATTAAACCAGCCAGGTTGCCAGGAGCCATGCCACAGGACTCAAGGCCCTCTGAGACACCAGGGGGAATTTAAAGCTCAAGACCCACTGAGGTGTGACTCTAACTGGGAAACGAGGGGTTCTCTGGAAGCCTTTTCCTAAGGCAGCCGGCTGAGGCAGGGATGGAAATTCTGACTGCACTTGCCCCCGGAGCCCCAGGTCAGAACAGACCTGGTCTCCCACTCTCAGGTCACAGGGCCGCTTTGCATGATTTCTGGAAGCAGAAAGTGTAGATGGTCTAGGGAAGTGCCAGGCAGACGCCTCGGGCTCCCTGCCCGACCACCCGCTACTGCCTTTCCTCACTCTGAGGTCATTTCTCTCCTGGACCCCTTCCTCCTGTAACCAGCCCAGCACTCTCCTGGGGTCCCTGAGCCTCTGACCCTGCCAGCATTGTCCAGCACCTTCTTGGTTATGATGGGGAGTTTAGGCAGACAGCCCAGAGCCCTGGGGGCCAGACTCTGTCCCGGAGGACTAATGGGCCCCAGTGCCCTGTCACAGGGCCTTGGGCCCACAGCAGCATTTGAAAGTTTACTAAAATGCTCCTTCAGGTCACCCACCTTCTCAGTCAGGCCTTCCCTGGTCACTTTATCTACTTTATCTGAAGTAGGCATTTTTAATTTTAATTTATTTTTTTGAGACAAGGTCTTGCTATGTCACCCAGGTTGGAGTGCAGTGGCACGATCATAGCTCACTGCAGCCTGGACCTCCCTGGCTCGTGATCCTCCTGTCTCAGCCTCCTGAGTAGCTGGGACAACAGGTGAGCGCCACCACGCATGGCTAATTTTTTTTTCCTTCCCTCCCTCCCTCCCTCCCTCCCTCCGTCCCTCCTTTCCTTCCTTCCTTCCTTCCCTCCCTCCCTCCCTCCCCCGCCCCCTTCTTTCTTTTTCTTTTTTCTGTTTTTTTTTCAAGCTTTTACTATGTGCCCAGGCTGGTCTTGAACTCCTGGGCTCAAGTGATCCTCCCGCCTTGGCCTCCCAAAGCTTTGGGATTACAGGTGTAAGCCACTACGCCTAGAAGGCGTTTTTAACTTGGCTCCATAGAATTGAACGAGCCTGAAAACTGGGATAGGAAAAAATTACAACTGTATTGTCCCTAACCTCTAACTGAAATTTAGCATCACTCTCAAGCATGAGCGTAGGCAACAAACCACAGAGGTATTATCAGCCGTACCTGTGACCTTGTCACCAACAGACGTCACAGATACTTACATATCACATTACAGTTGCTGCAGATTTCTCTAAATATTTTTTATGCTCGTCACAACTTCAAAATTATGGTCGTCATTAGACCCAATGCTAGATCTTATTTAATACACTGAACAAAACAGTACATTTACCACAATTTTTAAAGTATTTTGCTATGTTTTAATAGAATTGGTTTCCATTGTAATACTGTGCATTTGATTTTACACCTTAAAAAAATCATTATTCTGAGAAAGGTGTATGGGCTTCACCAGATATCAGAAGGGCCCATAGGAAAACAAAAACAAAAACAAAGGGCTAAGCAGCTCAACCTGAAGTACCACAGGCCCTCCTACTCCCTTTCTCTATTCCCTCCACCTGCTGGAATTTTTTCACAATGTGTATGCTTTTAATAATCCATCTACTCATTTTGTCTCCTTCTACTAGATTATAAGCTCCCCAAGGGCCCCAGTTTCTGTCTTGTTCATGCGGTGTCTCCAGCCCCTAGCACAGCATCTAGCACATAGTAGGTGCTCAACAACATTTGTTAAATAAATTAAAGGTGGAGATAATGGCTCCCATTTTGCAGATGAGGACACTGAGGCTCAGAGAGGAGCAGTGAGTTGAGCAGGTCACACAGTATCCAGGCAGGACTCAGAAAAGTCAGAATGTGCCGGAGCCTGCCCCTCCACACAGGTACTAAGAGAAGTGAGAAGCCCCCACTCCCACCAGGTAGCAAACCACATGCCACCCCTGAGGTCACCAGCACACCTCAGCCACTTCCACCAGCTTCTGAACCTGTCACCACCTCTGCCCAAGTACAAAGGAGAGGAGTGTGGGGCCTAAGAGGAGGAGTGAGAGGGAGGGGCAGGCGTTGGGACCTCAGGAGACAGGGAGCCTAGGGAGCAGGGGTGGGAGAAAGCTGTCGCCCTGAGTGCCTCTCAGCTCCCCTGGCCCTGCCCAGCTCTCTCTCTGCCCGGCAGCGGCAAACCCATCCATCCCTCTCTCTCAGCGTCTAGATATAACTCCGTGCAGGAGCCCTGGGCAAACCTGCAATCTGTCAGGAGCCCAGGAAGTGTAAATCCAGGCTCTCTGAAGGCTGGCCCTGGTTGCAAGGGAGAAGTCTCGGTCTCGGAAATGGGTTTCCTTTAGGGCTCCAGAAACTCCTCCAGCACCCACCATGAACGAACCAGGGTGGCAGCGTGGCCTCAGGCAAGTCCTTGAGCCTCTCTGCCTGGGTTCCTATGTGTAGAAGGTCCCCGGCCCACCCACAGGAGCTGCATGGGCGGGGGAGGGGACGGGTCTGTCTCAGGGGACCTTGGGGTTTTCTCAACCTCAGCCAAGAAGCCATCCATCTCTCCCCCAACCAGTGGTTTCCCTCAGCCTGCACCAGCACACCGCACCCCGAATCTCCGTGGACATACGGTTGCTTTTTAACTAGTTGATCACAGCTCAGGAGACCATGTGCTTTTCATTTTCACCTAGGCCAGTGTCCGCCTGCTAGAGGGGCATTTTAGGGATTTGCAGTGGCGTGTGGTCACCACAGTGCTGGGGTGGCACTGCCAGCGTTAGGGGTGGGGTGTGTGTATGTGGTGGGGTACGCCAGCACCCAGCACTGCCCAGGGTGGTGAAGATTCATTCTTCCTAGGAGGGAAAAACTTGCTTATAAAAGTCCTCTGGCTGGGAGTGGTGGCTCATGCCTGTAATCCCAACACTTTGAGAGGCTGAGGCGGGAGGATCGCTTGAGTCCAGGAGTTCAAGACCAGCCTGAGCAACACAGTGAAGAACACCCCCATCTCTACGAAAAATAATTTTAAAAAATCAGCTGAGCGTGGTGGCGCATGCCCATAGTCCTAGCTATTCAGGTGGGAGGACTGCTTGAGACCAGCAGGTTGAGGCTGCAGTGATCGCACCACTGCACCCCAGCCTGGGTGACAGAGCGAGACCTTGTCCCAGAAAAAAGTAAAAGAAAAAAATTCTCTGAGTCATGAACCTAATTCAGTTTTACATAAAATAAGGGTTTTTTTTTTTTTTGGTACTTTTAATATCTACTGAATTTTCCAGAAGGAAAGACAGTTCTTTTTTCTTTTTCTTTTTAAATTTTGTTTCGCGCTTTGCCAAAAGTTGTTGACAACTTGAGAAAGTCATGGTATTGGCCAGGCCAGGTTCAGATTGAGTTCTGCCACCCTGCCTGTTCCCTCTGCTGTGGGCTTCTGTGTAGAGGGCATTCGTCCACCTCATGCAGCCCTCTGGCCTCAACATTTACATATTCAAATCAGGGTTTTATTATAAACTACTTTTCCTTTTCTTCTCCATCATAGCTATGGAATAACGTAGTTTGCAACTGCATGTAAATAGGGAGGTTACGTTATTTACACATTTCAATGTAGAATAGTAAGGTTTGATACAAAATATATATTGTATAAGATAGACTCCTTGCGTCAGGCAGGGCAGGGACCTCGGCCCTAATCACTGCAGGAGACAGCAATGACCTGGTTTTCTTCCCTTCCTTTTCTTGGTTCACACCTTCAGCCCTATCGTAAGAGCTCTGTGGTGTTACTGGGTGCATGTCTTTCATGGAAAGCCATCTTCCTGGAATTCAGACAGAATGTAGAACTTGTTTCTGAGGAAACAGGCAGAGGTTTCCACCAGACTTCTCAGTTCTGGCAGAAGTCAGAGAGCCAGGCAAGGGTTCTGGGTCCCAACCCCAGACCTTAAATCCAAAGTGTCCCATCTCCTAAAGTGGCCCAGATTGTCACTGTCAACCGCTGACTGTTCTCTCAGGTGGGAATTTCCCAGTTGGCAGGATGGGCGCTGCAGATGTGTGTCTGCATGCCAGCGGACCCGGCACCCTCCTTCCTCCCTGCCAACCGCCTCCACCTCTCCCACTCAGCAGCTCACACCTTCTGGGTTTCCCCCACCCCCGCCCAAACCACACAGTAATCAGAGAATCAGTGGCTGTCACCACTCAAAGGGACCTCAAAGTCCTCCTCCAGTCCCAAGCATTTGAAGTAACAAAATCTCTAACATGTATCCAGCTCTCAGTATGCGCCAGCTGATACACTTGTATCAATTTCTCTAACCTTCCCAAAATCTCATGAGGTAGGTATGATTATCATCCCCATCTCAAAGCTGAGGAAACTGAGGCACAGACTGGTTAAGTCATTTGCCCAACATCATCCAGCAAGTCATTAGCAGAGCTGGGACTCAAATACAGGGTACCCGATACTAGAATGCAGGCTCTCAAAGACCTCGAGCCTCTGAAGGCTGAACGCCTCAGCCACAGTTCCTCAGACATCGGAACTCCTCCTCAGATCACTTCCTGCCTCCCAGGACCACTGAGACTGGTTATGGACCACTGAGAGGAGATGGATGAGAGAATGGTTTATAAACTCAGCCTCTTGCATCTCCCAGAGCCACAATCCCTCCCTCAGCCATTCCTGCTACAAGGGTAAGCTCCCAACCAATGCTTTGGAAACCCGTTTCCCTCCCTGCAGGCCTGGGGAGCGGGGCTCAAAGTCTGTGGGTACGAAAACCACTAAAAAAAATCATTCTCAGTGTGCAGAACGGCCAGACAAGGTCTCGGTAACTCAGAAAATCGTCGTCTCTTCTCTTTATCTCACTTCCCAGGAGAGGGAGTGGGAAGGAAGAATCAAGTTCCTGATGCCTTGTTGGGCTCCCCGATCGACAGCACCTTCTGCCTGCCTCGCAACAGGCAGCAGCTATAGTGCCCCTGACACGCACCTGGGCTAGCAGACCTGGCCACTGCCCCGCAGTCAACAGAGCCGTCAGCCTTGTCTGCCACCGACCAGGGACCAGTGACTCTCCTCTCAGGGCTGGGATTAAGTTGCAAAGGGTTTGAGAGATTGTGGATGACAAAAGGGACTTGGAGACTAATTAGGAGCAGCAATGAAAGCTTAATTCATAAAAGGAAACATTTTCCATCCATCAACCTGCAACCAGTTAAGGGCACCGTTTGAAAGAAATCTGTGCGTGGGGAAGGGAGCCAACAGGAACAGGAAATGTTTGAAAGAATGTAAACTATTTCAGTTTCATAAAAAGTAACAAGTAAACAGTTATTACATGCAAATAATGTCCTGGTTTTAATTAATGCTGAAAAGTCAAAATATGGTTGACATTTGTATGTATACATTGAATGGCTGGAAAGGAAAAAAATGGTGCCCAGCTGCCTATTTCAGAGCGGGACTAGCGGCTCAGAAGGAACTAGAACCTTGAGAAGGTCCTGTTTATTGGTGATGAAAAGCACAGTTCTGCTTCAGCCTGCGTGGAGTTGGGGAGCAGAGGGAACCCGGCTTACTTCTTAACAAAGCTGGAGGCGGGCCTGATGCTTGGGAAGGGCGACTCCCATGTCTCCTGGTCTTAAAGGGCCAGTGGACCCTCAGGCCTGCATTCCACAGGGGCAGGGTTTCTAGGACTTTCCCACCCAGGAGTTAAGTGATGATGGGTTTCAGGTCCCAGAAGCCTCCCATTCAACAGCCCCCCACCCCTGTCCCGCCTTCCTTCTACTGCCCAAGGTCGGTCAGACAGGCAGGGTGGCACACCAGCCTTGACTCTGGGGCAGGAGATGGCAGCCTTCGAGCTGTGCTTTCCAACATCTAGCTGCATTAGCTTCCATTCCAGACCACCTAGGGCTCAAAGGGGCTGGGAAGCTGGGTCTGGGAGACCACAGCTGGAGAGACGGAGCCTGAGGTGTGGGGGAGATTCTGCCCCCTATGGAGAGGGTGGCTGGGGTGCTTGGGCCCCACCGACCAGGCACTTGTCCTGCAACCGCCTTGCTGAAAGACCTATAAGCTCCCTTTTTGCGCCTGCTAATCCACCATTTCGTGCCAGCATTTTTTGTGAGACCAGGTGTGCTTAACCAGGAAAGAGGGGGTGGCATGAACGGTTTCAGGAGTTGGTAAACCCTAGAAACTGGGAGAAAACTGTGTCTTTTTCACGCGAGAGACTGTAACTTTCCTCACCCCCTCAAAGCGATCTGTAACGTCCTACAGGATTACAAATTGCTGTTTTTACACAGCTGCGTCTAGGGACCTGTTTTTCGGGATTCTAAGGCCCCTCTTTCAACCTCCTTCCCTGCTGCCTCTGCCATTGCCAATGCTGAACTGGCGAGGCCTCCCTTCCACTTACCTCGCCCACTGCGGCCCACAAAGCGAAGGTCGTTGAACCTGGCCACCTGGTTCTTCATGACGGCCGAGGCGTTGCGCAGCTCAGCGGAGTAGTTCTCGTCATTGCCTGCCATCACGGTCACCACGGTGCCATCTGGCACGTCCCCCAGTGCCACCACCTGAAGACATGGGGCAGGGGGGATGCAGGGGGACAGCTTAGAAAGGAAGAGGGAGCCCAGGGAAAGGAAGGGAGGGGCTGGGCTGGGCAGCTCCCCTAGGTCCCAGGCGCACTGCGTATTTCTCCAATGCAGGGTGGAGAAGAGGCTTAAAAACAATAAAGACCTTCCCTCAAATATCACAAAAACAAGAAGATGGAATCTCAGACTTCCACACCAAAATCCTAGATCAACTGCTTACATAAACCGTGTCCCAAGAAATCATCCTTTCAGTGAAATCTCAGCCAGAGCTGTGAAATCAGCTCAGTCACTATGATGTGGGGTGCAGTTCCCCTGTTGTCTTCGGCTGCAGCGAAAGAGGAATCAACATGCTCCTAGCAACGAAGTCGCCAAGCGAAAAAGAGTATCAACAATAATAACAACAGGGCTGCTACCCCCACTCAATTTATGCAAGAGCTGTTTAGGGCATGAAATTTGGCCCTGAAGTGTGGACGAGGACCAGTTTATTGGCCTTTGCAGAGCCTAAATTCGTTATGCAGAGAAAATGCAGAATGCAAAACTCATTGGTGTTTTGAAAAAGGTCACCCAGAAAACCCCTTTAAAGTGAGAGGGGGTCTTTTGATAATGGAAGGATGCACCTGCTGGGAACTGCAGGATGGGGGTGGCGATGTCCTCCTAAACACCATCTCCCCCAAGTCCCCCACCCCCAGGAGCACGGAGAGGCAAATGCCTTTTGAAAAACAATCAGACTTTAAACACAGCCACAACCATTTAAACGTGGCCGCCGCGTGCAGGGACTGGGGATCCATATGGTAAAAATTTCAAGGAGAAAATGTTTGGGATCTGATTAAAAAGGCCAGATTTCCTGTCAACATCCTGTCTTCTTTTAATTTCAAAGACTCCTTTTAAGCTCCAAGTGACAGTAAAACCTCCGATCTGACGATCTGACGATTAAAGTCACACGGGCCTCCCCCCCTCCCGGGGAGATTTCCCCCACTGGTATTTTAAGATGTCACCCGAGAGACCTCAAAGAGCCACTCATCCTTTTTTTCCAATTTGGAGTCGTCTTAATGGGAGCAGTGACGGCCTCAGCTGCCAGCGGTCGCCGCTTCCAGCCACCTCGGGCAGCACCACCCCCAGCCGCCGGCCCTTCCTGCCCTGCCCTTTTCTCACGGCAGCTGTGAGAGGTTTAGGGGAAAACCGAGGCGTTTTCGTTTCATCTCGCTGCCCCCTTAAAAAAATGAAAATGAAACAGTCGCCTACTCCCTGGCATAAAGAAAAAGGTCCTCTAAATGGCTGGGGGCTGCCAGAGTTAGGGGTCCCCCAATCTCAACCTGCCATTCAGGACGCAGAATATCCCCCAGCAAACGTCTGGAGAGCAGTGCCCCGATCCCGGCCTAGCGCCGTCCCGTAAAATTTCGGAAGCCGGAGGGTGTGAGCAGGAAGCGTCTGAGAAGCGGCGCGGGAGGAGGGGTGCTGGCGGCGGAGGGTAGGCCCTTTCACCGTTCGCACCCCACCCGCGGTGTCCTTGCCCCGGTGCCGGGATCCTCTTCTCCGTTACCCGCAGGGCTGTATCTGAGCGATCCGGGTGGGGGGGGGCAAAACCCCATCCGCCCATTTCCGCACCAACGTCTCTACGCAGGGCGCCCTAAAACCCAGGTGGAGCGGGGCAACCCCCTTAAAAGTCATCCGTGCAGGGCGCATCCAAAACGGAACGCCGATGTCCTCAAGCCGAGTGCGCAGCGAGACAGAACCGGGTGCCCAGGTGTCGCCGCGGCCTCTGGGGCACCTCCCCTCCCCACTGCTCCGGAGGCTCTGGCTCCCGCAGCTTGGACGCCCGGAGCCCCAGGGCGGGCGCCCTCCCGCCCCGGGTCCCGCACTCACCTTGAAGGCGACGGGCAGTGTCTTGTTGCAGCGCCAGTGCGAGGGCAGCACCGAGCAGAGGAAGTTGGGGCTGTCGGTGCGCACGAGCTCGCCCGCGTGGTCCGCCAGCACGTCCACCATCGAGCGCACCTCGGGCCGGGCGCGCCCTCCGGGCCCCACGGCTGCCTGCGCGCTGAGCGCGCCGCTGTTCTCGCCCATCTTGCCGCCGCCGCCGCAGGGGAAGGCCGTGGAGGGAGGTGTGAAGCGGCGGCTGGTGCTTGGGTCTACAGGAATACGCATAACAGCGGCCGTCAGGGCGCCGGGCGGGCGGCGACGGCGCGGCTTCCCCCGGGGGCGGCCGGCGCGGACGCCTCCTCGGCCGCCGCTGCCGCGAGAAGCGGGAAAGCAGAAGCGGCGGGGCCCGGGCCTCAGGGCGCAGGGGGCGGCGCCCGGCCACTACTCGCCAGGGCCCGCCCGCTGCGAGGCCTCGCTAGCCCGACGGCCGTCCGCAGCCTGCCCGGCTAGTCCCGCATCCCCGGCGCGCGGCACCGCGTGCGGCCGCCCCTCGCGGCTGTTCCGGCTGCCTGGGCCGCGGCGGGGCCCCCGCGGGGCTGTGCCGCCGCCGCCGCCGCCTCCCGCCCCGAAGCTCGCCCGCGGCCGCCCCGACTCCGCGGCCGCAGCCCCAGAACAAATCCTCTAGAATCAAGTGGCGGGGCCGTGGCCGCCCGCGCGGGGTTAGTACCCCCGGGGCCCGCGGGGCGGGGCCGGCCCGAGCGACGCGTCGCACAGCCAATCGGCGGAGCCCCCATCGCGGGCACCTCGGTGGCGTTCGCGGGGAGGAACGGGGCCTGCCGGAGGCCGCCCAACGGGGAGGGGCGGAAGGCGCCACCCCGCGGAGGAGGCCCCCGTGCCACAGCCCAGGGCCCCCGAGAGCTCTGGGAGCCCGGGGCAGATGCTAGAAATTTGCTTAGAACGTCCGGGTCCCACAGAAGGCGCCCTTGTCGCCCTCTCCCGGGTCGCATCTCCCTGACGCTGGGGCGCAAACCCTTCGCCCCTCCTCCCCGCTGGCCGCGGCCGGGCTTCCCCAGCTCTTGCTGCTTCGGGCCTGTGACTTCTGCAACCCCGGGCTGGGGGCCGCGGGAGCCCAGGGCCGGTGACACCGCACTGGGAGCCGCCCCAAAGAGGTTACTCACCTCCCTCCTCCCGCAAATTACTCTGACCCAAGAGCCTCCAACCCACATGGGATTTTTGTGCGCCGTCCACGCCCGGCCGGCGGCCTCTGCCGCTCCCAGCCCTGCGCGGCTTTGGTTCCAGCCTCGGTGGCCCCTGTGCCAAACCGAGGACAGGCGGAAGGGAGTCTCCCAGGGACCCTAAGTAGCCTGGGGCCAACAACCCCTTTCCTCTCTACTCTCCCCTCAAAACAAGTTTCAGGATCTCGCAGGCCTCGCGGCGTCGTTCTTCGTTGTGGCGGCCTGTGGCTCTTTGAAAAACACGACGAGGCCTGCAAAATGCGTTTTCCCGATTTTTTTCCTTTACGCATGTAACTACGGTCCTGCATCGTGAAACACTACGCGCGTCGGCGACAAAAGAAAAACTGAGCAGTGGCTGCAAAGCTAAGGGCCCCGGCTTTCAGAGGAGAGAATTTTCTTTCTCCATGCGTGTGGAAAGTGGCCTCCGCGGATCCAATCCCACTTCTTGGGCTCGTGCGCTCTGGCTGCGCTGCAGGGACTGCTGACAGTTTCGCCAAGGCACTGCCTGCCCTCCTGGCTCCGCGTCCCCGCTCCCACTCCCAGCCGCGTGGCCCAACCTCTCCCGGGCTTCACTGCAAACAACCCCTTCCTCTCCCGCCTCTTAAGTCAGTCGAGCAGGCCTAGAGGACGGCTACAGCTGGGAGGGCAATGGGAAAGATCAAGCCCCAATCATTCCGAATTATCGCCCCAGACCCCTCCCTAGACTCTGGGGAACGAACGCGTGCTGAGCCTCCCCGCCGCTTTGGAGACTGGGCTATATTTTCGTTGCCTCTGGCTCTCGACAGGTGCAAAACAGTCAATTCCAAGCCTCGGAAGTAAAGAAGCTTAGGATTCGACGGTGGCCGCAAGATCTCATCACGGATCTGACCCCTGCCCAGCGTGCGCCATTTCGTCGTCGCCAAACGAAATCAAGCCCCTCGTGCGCTCAAGGGGTGAAGGACTCTGGCCTCACCCCGACCGTCGGAAGAGCTGGCCCCTGCCCGGCTCGAGGCCTCATATCACGCCCTCAGGCCATTTCGAACGCAAGAACGGCAAAGGTCCCTTACTGAACCTTGTAAGAGAGCCTGCGCCTGGCAGTTGTCGATTGCGGACCCAGGCCCGCGCACCCTCGGACGCGCTGGCATGAGCAGCAGAACTAGAGGAAAGCGAGCGATCCAGCCTGGGCGCTCCCATCTCCAGGAACGTCTCCGGGAAGGCCCAGCGCGTCGTGGCCAGGTAGGGCCCGGGCCGGGGGCGGGCAACACGTGCTGCCCTGGAGCTGTTGCGGGACCATGACCCGCAGTTTCAGGTGGTGGTAAATTCCATTTGTCGAGTGGTTTGGGTTTGCACCGTGCCCTTTGCTTGTCCCTCCGCCTGATTTCTCCCTCTCCCCTTACGGCGGGTTCACAGACGGCTTCCCAGAGAGTGGGGGACTCTTGTGAGCCCTGGCACCTGGCGCAGGGCCCGGCACGGCTCCGGCCCTCCGTAGAGCGCTGGCTCTCCATGGGCACCAGATCCAAGGTACTGGGGGGCGGGGTGCAGGCCCTTGCGTCCGCAGACCAAGGTCGCCCGGCCGCCTGGCAGGCACGGTGGCGGGAGCTGCCGCTAGTTGGCGCCCGCACCCTGCCAGCCGCGGAGGTGCGGGCCCTGCCAGGCTACAGATGCGCGCCAGCTGCGGCCCCGGGTGCAGGCGCGGTGGCCGTCCCCCAAGAAGGTGCCCTTTCCTTGCCACCAATGCGGCCAGGTCTCTGACAAACCGATGGCTGTGTGTCAAACCAAGGCCGCCTTCCTCACCTCTGATGAGACGGACGCCTTCCGCCTTCGCGTTTTCAGGCACCGGGGAGAAGACCCACAGAACAGGCTAGCTTGTTCCCAATTTCCACCGATCGCCAACCTGCTTCCTCCCCATCCTGGACCGACAAACTTTGTCGTTTGTTTGATGGGAGGGAGAGCTCCCACTCCCCCACCTGGGGCATGCAGACACCCTCGCCCTTCCCCAGCTGGCATCCCCAGCTGGCATGGAGGTCTTTTCTCCCTCTTCCATCAGATCGATGGACAAACAGCCCAGTTTCTCTCCAGTGGTCCCCACCTAAGAGCATCCTAAGTTGTCCACAGCAGGGCTAGGAAGCGGAAGGTCAGGACACTCCCCTCCCCTACCTTGACTTAGAGCTGGGTAAACCCAGAACCCATCCTAGGAAGGGGATTCGTCTTCCTCCAGCATTTAGGGGTGCACTCTAAGTGCGTTCTTGGCAGTGAGGGTGCCGGCTTCCCAGGGCAGGCATGATTCATGGGGACTCTGTGGCGCCTGGGCAGGGATCCCCAGGTATACCAGACAAGGGGCAGGTGTGCCCTGGGAAGCTGCCTAAGAGGTCCACGGGCTGTGGAAGGAGCCAGGGTCCACAGTCCGTCTGCCTGAGCGTGTCTTCTTCCCTCGCCCGCAGCTCTCTAGGCAGAGTTGCCTAAGCCTCTCTGAGCCTCGTTTCTTTCATCTGTAAAGTGGGGGCACTCATAGTGGCCCCCATAGAATTGTGTGTAAAGTGCTTAGCACAGGCCTGGCACATAGAGGGTGCTCCAGCCATGGGGAGCCATCACTGTCATTATGAAAAAATAAGACCTGTCAATCCTTGCTGGGGGCCTTTGAACCACCCCTCCCCTCTCTGGGCCTCACACTTCCATCTGTGAAATGTCCAGTTCTCACGTTCAAAGCTTGCCAGGACTCCAAGCCAGTCCATGCTGTCCTGACCCCTCGATTCGCCCAGGGGCTGCCTGGGGGAGCTAAGGACTGGCCGTGACCTACCTCCACGTGGAGTCGGCTCACAGCAGGGCTTCCAGCAGCCGTCACAGGGCGGCCGGAGGTGGGTCTTGATGATTGCCCATCTGACCATTCCTCTCAGAACCTCACTTTGGCCCCCACCCAGCTGCCCCCCCCCGTAGGCAGACGTTTTCCTAAGTAGCAACTGGGCCTCAGCGGACGCTGCCAGGGACCCCATTTCCTTCCCAGGAGGCCTCTGTTTCCCATACCCTGAATCGCACAGTAGCCTAGTCCAGCGAAGAGGACAGAGGACTCTCTTCTAGAACTGAAAATTTCTCCCAGCCTGGCCCTAAATCCCCTGTCCAGAGGGACCCGTGGTGAAACCTATCTCCTGCCCCTAGAACTCAAAGGGGACATTCATGCCCCTCACTGAGCCTCAGTTGCCTCTTCTGTCAATGGAGGTCATTCTGACCTCTCCATTTCACAGGAGGGGATTAAGGATTCCCTCTAGGAGGGGAGGGGCATCGTGTTTCGCTGTATCTAAATTGTGATCGATGGTTTGAAGAAACAGAAAGAAAATGCTGCTGAGTAAACTAGGACTCATCTGCTTCCTGATTTCAGATCATGATCTCTGAATATATAAGTGAGAAATGTTAATGAAAAATAGCAATATATCTGGGTTGAGGGGTTGTCTCCTGCAGGTCAGGGGTCCAGCCCTAGAGAGTCCAGCTCTGGGGTCGTCTCTCCTGGCCAGCCTCTCTGGAAGGATTCAGAATGTGTGGGAGGACAAATGTGCTTCTCAAATTACAGAGATCTTTCTTCCTTTTTGGAAAGTGCCAGACTTGGAGGGGAGGGAGAAGGAGCAGGGGAGAGCAGAGTGGTGAGGGTGTTAGGACCCAGTGCTGCCTGTGAGGTCTGAGACTTTTGCCTGGTGTCCACACTCCCCTGAGCCTTGGTCCCGTGGGTAAAATGGGAAGAACAGTAACAGCTGAGGGTGCTGAGGCTTTACCTTGTGCCAGGTGCCGCACGTGGGCATTACTCATGGTATTCAATCCCCACGGCGTCGTATGTGGTAGTTGTTATGCCCATGTAAGCAAAACGGAATGTTGTTTGAGGTCGGCCAGGTTGGAGAGGGCCGGACCCAGGTTAAAAGTCTGCTCTGGCTCAAAATGTGGGGCATGAAGGCATCACCTGGCCAAGCATGTCAGCACTCTCCTCCTAGTGGCTGAGTAATGGGAAGAGCTAGCAGCTAGATACAGAGGAAAGTGCTATTGTGATGGGGAGAGAAAGCTGGGGTGGTAAATCCTGCTAAGCAGCCCTGGACTTGGAAATCAGCAGACTCTTCAAATCTGCAGGGAGTCAGGAAGGACTTGCCAGGGTCATTCGGGAGGATCCTGTGATAGCTGAGGTGCACCCACCACCTGCTGTCCTTTGGCCTCAGAACCAGTCTGTGAAGAGGCAGGATTGGCAGTAGTCTCCAGTTTACAGATGGGAACACTGAGACCCAGAAAGCGGAGAGGCATGATCAGGATCTGGACTGAGCTCCAGCAAGGCCAGGAGCGAGCACCTCGAGGCAAAATGCAGTCAGGCAGGACCTCTGCCTTGCAGGAGGCGGCAGCCCAGTCCCGGGCCTCATACACTAGGGCCCCATGCCACTCTCAGTGTCTCTCTCCCAAGGGAAGTGCTAGTCAGTCGCGTTTCCCTCTGGGCCTCAGTGTTCGCATGTGAACGCTGGAGGTGCACTTACAAGCCCCTCTACATGCCAGGCAGGTTCCCGCAGGACCCCAGGGTTTCGCTGGGACCCAAGACCCCTCCTCCCCACCCACCTCCTCTCCACCTTCTGTGGGGCGCCAGCTCCCTTGCGTCCACATGACCTCGGATCCTTCCGCGCCCACCCCCACCCTGTTCTGCAGGTGGGTGGACAGAGGGTGCTCTGCTTTGGGGATGAGAGAGAGAAAGGGAGGCAAGGGCGGAGAAAAGAGACTTCTGTTGCGGGGGCGTGGAGCAGAAAAACTGGCTCCATCAGTTGCCAGGGAAGGGGTTTCTGGTTTCAGATCACATCACTTGGTGGGACCTTCCTACCCCCCTCCCTGCTACTCACTCTTGTCATCTGTAAATCAGGGAAATATTTCTAGAAGACAGTTATTTGGTCTGTGACTTTGATCATTGGTCTATGACTAATAATTGCCCTAATTTTTTGGACACCTACTGCATGCTGGGAGTTTTCCGCCAATTGTCACTCACCCTCAGGTGCCTCCGCCGGTCAGGGATTTTATTCTCTCCATTTTACAGATGGGGAAACCCAGGCTCCGAAAGTAAAGAGCTTTTCCTCTGTGGGCCTCAGAATCTGAGAAGTTCAATCAAGTTCTCAGGAGCCCTTCCAGCACCCCCAGTCCTCGACTGGGGAGGGGCCATCTGCAGTCTGACAGCTGCTCTCAGGGCAGAGATCTCCATCCAAAGCAGCAGGTGGGTGTAGAGCTACCTGCCAGCAGAGCCATCAAACACAGCACTCTTCTATTGGGAGGCAGGGAGTGGTGAGAGGGACCTGGGCAGCTTGGAGCCAAGGGGGCTTCTGGGAAACATGTGCCCTTCCCCCAGCCCCAGGGTGGGGTTCAGCCCTGGCAAGCAGGGAGAGAAAGGGCTCTTCTGAGTGGCTGTTGCTTTACACACGTTTTTGCTTCACAGTATTCTTAGAAGGTAGGGACAGTTATCACTCCCATTTTACAGGAAAGAAAACTGAGGCTCAGAGAGCTCAAGTAACTTGCCCAAGTTGGCACCACTGGGAAACCACAGAGGTAGGATTCCAACCAGGCAGCCTGGCCCCAGAGCCCACGTTGCTGCCCACTACACTCTATTCTTGTGGACTAAAACCAGATGCTCGAGGTTACAGTCATGGAATAGAATTAGAATCCTGGCAGAAGAACTGTGGGCAGGATTCAGAATTTTACAATGTCAGACTCGAAAGGGCTCTGAGATATCAAATTCAAATCCCCATTTCTCAAATGGCAGAACTGAGGCCTAGGGAGGAAGAGTCTCACTCAAGGTCACAGCCTATGCCAGGGACAGAGTCTGCACCCCTTCCCTCTCCAGCTACCTCCCGCTGACTCTGCACCTTCCTCTCCTGCAGGCCCTCCTCTCTCCACTGCCCACCCAGCAGCTTCTGGGCCCAGCCAGGCCCATTAGGGATTTTCCACCTCCCCGAAAAGGTCCTAATGACTGTCAGTCCTTGTGAAGCCTTAATTAATCTCAGAGGCCGATGGCTCAGAGGAGACTGGGGGCTTTGGCCTTACGCAGATGAAGATTGCGGCTCTATTTCATGTGGTGGTGAAGGAACGCCTCAGACATTCCTGCCAGCAATAAAAGCCACATGGCTTTCCAGCGTCGCCCTTGGAAAAGAAAAAAAGTGCAGCCCTTTGCGGAAAGAAATCAACTATGTGCTGTACGCATGGCATGAGATACAAATGGGCACACGGAGGTGGGGAACAGTCGGTCTTTTATGCCACCTCTGATGTCCACTGACAGAGGCAGGGCCAGCGGTCACGGTCCCAGCTGCAGTCCTGGGGAGAGGGAGTGACCCCCAGTGTGGTGGGGGAAGCCTCAGCTCCTCCACCTGAACTGGATTTGAGCCACCGCAGATATCCCAGAGGCAGGGCCAGCTTCCTGGCCTGTGACCCATGCAGTCGCACAGGGCCCTGGTCTCAGAAGGGTCCTGAGCTTGTTTTAATGCCCTGCCACCGCTGCCTTGAACTTCTGAATACTTGCTCAACAGAGGCCCTGCGTTTTCATTTTGTACCGGCCCCCCAAATTATATAGCCAATCCTGACCACAATCCTGACCCGCCCATCGTCAGTTGTCACGTCTCTCCTGGCCCCTGCCAAGTACCCAATCCCGGGGAGTAGGGTTTCTTGAGCGCCTGCTGGCCGCTTTGCTTATATCACCTGAGATGAACTTCAAAACAACTCCGTGAATTGGACAGATGTGGAAAATTGAGGCTCAGAGAGGCTTCCATATGGCAAGGAAGCCTAGATTTGAACTCAGGTCTCCCTGACTCCAAAGTGAGTACTCTTAGCAGCTCTACATTCTGCATGATTTCATCTTCATCATGCCCAGGGGGATGGGGATACACACAGTTAGGCTGCTCTATGCCCAGATAACAGAAGGCATAACTGAGGCCGGAGAAGTGAAGGTTCTCAAATCAGAGTCAAACCAAGGGCCGGGGCACCGGTGGACCTGGGCCTGGATCCATAGGGCTGGGGATGGAGTCCCAGTTTTATACTTGTTTGTGCCACTTGTAAATTTATTAGCTCTTTCCATGCAGGTCACTGCCTTGAGTCTGGTCTGGAATGTGGTTGGAGCCCTGCTCCTTCCCCCTCCCCAACAGCTCTCCATTCTAAACATCTGGAAGTCCTTCCTTGTGTCTTCTTCCACTCTTTCATGCTGCAGTTTTCCTCTGCCACCCTCACTGGTTGGGAAGCAGTTGGATCTGGCACCTTGATAAACTCAAAAGAGTCCAAATTCTTGATGAAAGTTGGGACTGAACAGAGCCCAAAATTGCCATGTCCTGTAACTGGGTCTGGGCCTGAGGCTCATAGAGCCGGCTGCTAGATCCAGGGGAGCCATTTCATTGTTCCCTGCTGGGTAACCTTGAGCAAGTCCCTTCCCTCTCTGGCCCTGAGACTCCCCTTCAGGGAGATAAATGCATTGGACAATGCCTGAGCCCCAGGAGGCCTCTCTGTCTTCAACATTCTCGAATTCCATATTAATCTACAACAGGTCTGCTCATTTCCCCAGCTATGAGCTGGGGAAACCGAGGCCCAGGAAGGCTCAGAGACTTGCCCAACATCACAGAAGGTGCTTATTGACAACTGGACTTGACTCTGAGGCTCCTATCAGCTGGCCTGGCTGCCTCTGCACAAACCTTCGGAGGACCTGGCCTCAGCATCAGCTCAGCTTGCCCTTGTCCCGCCCCCTCTAGCCCACTTTGGCCTGTCAGGCGTCCTGAGTGTCCAGGCCTGGAAATCACAGCTAAGGGTCCCTGGCATGCAATAAAGTTCCTCTTCTATGGTTTGAATGTCTCCCAAAAGTTATACATTAACACTTCATCGCCATCATGGTGGTATTAAGAGGCAGTGGGGGGCCTTTTGGGAAGTGATTAAGTGGTGAAGGCTCTGCCCTCATGAATGGATTAGGCCCTCTTTGCCCTTCTGACTTCAGGACACAATGTTCTGTGTCCTCTGGAGGACACAGCCAGAAGACACTGCCTTGGAAACAGGGAGTCCAGGACCTCACCAGATGCAGAACCTGCCAGAGCCCTGATCTTGGACTTCCCAGTCTCCAGAACTGTGAGTAATAAGTTTCTATTTCTCTATTTATAAATTACCCAGTCTCAGGTATTTTGTTATAGCGACACAGAATGAACTAAGATAAGACATTCTCTTTAGACAAAAGTGGGCCAGGGGATGGCAGCAACCCTTTTCTCCCCAATTGCATTTAGGCTGTGTTAGCGTTTCCATAATAAAGACCCCTTTTCCAGGGGTTATAATTTGGCTGGAAAATGAGGAGGAAAGGCCAGATTCCAGGACTGGAGAGGCATGTGAAGTAGGAGGCTAGGATGGGAAAGTCTCCACTGGACCGTGGGCACGCAGGGTGCACACACACACATCTATACCTTACATGGGTGCACTCACACACAGCACCCATGCTCATGGGCACAGTCTCACACACTCACTGGCAACTCCCACCCGCATGGACAAGCCCTCATGGAGGACAGCATCGTTACAGTGCAGCCACGGTGAAAACAGTTACGTGCACGTGTGTGCAAAGGTACTCCAAGGAGATGCATCTGTCTGCATCAACATGCACGGACCTATTGGTGTAGCTGCACAGATAGGCCTCATATAGAGTGGTGTGGACACACACACGGGCAGAAACCCACATCACAATTGTGTAAACAACAGACCTTTGTGTGGACAAATCTTCACACACAGAGGCAGGCGTGGAGTCAGGGCTTAGAGCTTTGGATTTGTTCTGCAGATCGGCTCTTGGAGGAGTTGAACCCTGGCTGTGGAAGTTTCTGCTTCTCCTCAATTCAGAGGTACAGACTTTCTGGGTGGTTTGCCCCCCCGGGGCTTCTGAACCATTCCTCAGCATCTGAGCTTAACCCGCTGCCTCATTGTTCGATGGGGACGAGGAGAGCTTGTCCTCCCCGCCCAGAGAAAGGCAGTGGGAGGGGATTAGTGGGAGGGTTGCAGCTAGGGTGCCCCACGGGGGCATGGGTGGAAGGGCAGGGCACTAGCCTAGGGGCCCAGAGACCTCAGTTTGGGTTTAGGTTGAGATGCCCTAGGCCAACACATGGCCTCTCTGAGCTTCATTCTGAGCCCCCTCTGTTAGGGCCGTGTGACACCCTCAGGGACCTCAGCATGGGGAAGAGCACTGAAACCGTGTCACATGATGAACTATTAAAGCAACTGGAGACTTTGTCCTGGAGGACAGCAGGCTTGGGGGTAAGAGCTTCTCTGGCAGATCTATGAAGAGCTCCCAGGTGGCAGGGACCACATGGATGCTGGGGGCTCCATACCAGGAATAGAAGTATTGAGAGCTGGCTCGGAATAGAAACACATCCCCTCAGAGGTAGAGAGCTCTCCATTTTGGGAGGTATTCAAGGTAAGACCAGGATATTATGGAGAGAGTTCAAGTGTTGGATGGAACAGGGGCCAGACCAGATACTAGTGTCTCAAACGCTCAGCTCATAGCAAACACATATTGAACAAATGAGAGAGCGACTGCAGAGCTCCATTTCTAAGCCAGTCATCCGTGATTCAGAGCATACCAGCTCTGGGTTCCCACCTTGCCATCTGCATGACCTTGGCCCTCTCCAAACCTCAGTTTCCTCATCTGTGAAATGGGGAGAACAAATTATTTCCAAGAGCTCCAGCAAGTCACATCCCCTATTGCTGGCCTTTCAGGTCGTCCCAGAATTTCTGCTCTTATAAATAGAAAATGACATTGAAGGCAAAAAGCAGACAGACAAGCAAGAGAATGGTTAATACAAAAATCACAGCTAGGCGTGGTAACTTGTGTCTGTAATCCCAGCTACTTGGAAGGGTGAGGTGGGAGGATCACTTGAGGCCTGGAGTTCGAGAGCAGCCTGGGCAACAAAGTGAGACTCTGTATCTACCAAAAAAAAAAAAAAAAATTCAGGAGAGTGGTCCCCACCCCTTGCCATCCATGATGAGTAGGGAGAGGGATGCAGTCAGGGAGGGGACACTGGTGGGAGCCCTAAGGTCTCATTAGTGCTTTGTTTTTTAAAGCCAGGTGGTAGGTAGACAGATGTCTGCTGTGTTACTCCTCTTTAAACAATACTTATATTTTATACATTCTTCTGTACGTGTATTTTACATGTTTAAAAATATTTTTAAAGGACAGCAAAAGATAAAAAATAGAAAAAGTCCCCCTGCCCAAACCCCTGAAAAAAATGGACAGTATGCTCAAATGTGCATAATGTTGTACAATTATTCATGAAGCAGCAAAGCTGGGCTGTGTTTATTCTCAGCCAAATCACTGTTTCATCCGGAGGGTCCTGTGTACCATCACACTCTCAGCTGAATCTCTACAGGCCCGTGCAGCTGTCCTCATCATGGCAGCCCCCACCTAGGTAAGCACTTCTAGGTAACAGCCCCTGCTGAGCACGCTCCCCGAGCACTCCTCATGGCCGCCAGTCGCCCTCCAGGTATGTGTCAGTGGGCCCACTTTACAGGCAAGGAAGTCCCTTGCACCTACGTAGGAAGCAGCAGAGCTGGGATTCGAACCAGCTCTGTCAACGCCAAAGTTGTGCAGCAACCTCACCCCAGGGGCCAGGCCCCTCGATTATAGTAACTAATGTTATGTACACTGACACATGCTGTTGAATCCCCAGAGCCACTTTTGTATTAGGTACATTTATCATCACCCCCATTATAACAGTAGGAAAACTGAGGCATAGCAAGGTCAGGAACGTGTTCAAGTTCATACTCCAGGTGAGTATCAGAGCTGAGCCTTGAACCTCAGCAGCCTGATCCCAGATTGTGTTTCCTGGCCTGGCTATGTGGGGAGCTCAGACTTCATGGAAACAAAACACAGAATGGTGGCTCCAGGGTCCACAGCTGATCCCAAGGGACCAAAGGCCAGCAGGGTGGTTGGCTGGGGCTGGAGGATGCTGCCTAGGAGATCTGCTCCCAGAGTGATGCCAGCCCCCTGTGATGAGCTGAGTCCCTGCCTCCTTACAGGGTCGTGGCTGCTGGGGAGGTGCTGAGGCTGTGGGTACAGCCAAACAGAGCTAGAGCAGGCTTTGGACTCCCTGCCTGGCAAGTCCAGGTGGCAGGCTCAGACACTGGGCACTCTGTCATTTGCTGTTGGCGTAAGTTTCTACTGGCAGGAATGTGACATTTATCACATGAGTGGGCTTCCAGAAGCCCACTGAATGTCCTCAGACCTGGGGTCGGGGTCCCTCTCGCTGCCTCACCTCTGAGCCTTAGTGAAATCCAGGGTGGCTGGATGATCTGAAGGCCCTTTTAGCTTGCGGAGGCCTGGGCTTGCACCTGCCCCCATCCGTGTCCCCCGGGGAAATGGTTCCCAGTCCTGCCCTTAGCAGCTCTGAGCTTAGATGAGGGGAGAGATGAGATGGGAAGGAAAAAGAGAAGTAAGAAACAGACAGAGGAAAAAGAGTTGGCACTAGATTCAAGCAGTCAACACACACTTATCAGGCACCTACTATGTTCCAGGGGCTATTTTAGGTGCTGGGGATACAAGCAATGGACAAGAAAGCCATGGAGCTTCTTGGGGCTTTGATTCCAGCAGGTCAGACAGAAGACAGACAAGGAGGCAAATAAGTAAGCATGCCAATATTTGATAGTGTCTTGGGACACTCAAGGAAACAGATGGGGGTAAAGTCATAGAGGGTGACTGGGTGGATGGGGGGAGAGGGGCTCGGTGCCAGTACTTTAGACAGGGTGGTCAGGGAAGGTCTGTCGGAGCAGGTGACATCCAAGCTGAGACCAGGGGGTTGAGAGGGACCCAGGAAGGGAGAAGGGGGCTGGTAAGAGGGCCTACTGTACAGTGGAACTGTCTTTACCCACCTGCCTTCTTCCCACTCCTCTGCACTTCCAGTATCCCCAGTTCCTAAAACTCTTACTGCCCTTTCTCTCTATTGCTCCCCCCACGACAGCCCTGAGAGCCAGATGGGGTGAGTCTAAGTAGCCTGACATGCAGTTGAGGAAACTGAGGCTAGAGTGGGGGGGGCAGCATCAAGTGGTATCCTAATGCCAGGACCTGACCCCGGCTCCCGCCTCCCAGCCTGGTGCTCCTTGGAGCCTGCCCATTGCCCGGCATGTTATTTAACCACCCAAGTCCAGGCAGGCTGCAGCCACTGTGGAGCCAGTCTGTGGGCGCCGCTCCTGAGAGGTCACAGGGCTGGAAACGTGGGCAGCTGGGTAGGGTCTAGGAGGGGGCAGCGGCTCAGGACTGGGCGGGGGTCCGGAGCGGAAGGCGCCCAGCCCTGATTGGAACAAGGTGGCAGCACTGGGAGCCGAGCCGGGCGTCATTGATCTTGCCCGGTGTTCCAGCCACCAGGCGGGGCCAGCGCCGGGCAGACTGCCGGTTTTCCCAGGTGTGGGGACACCCTGGGGGAATGGCTTTTCATGTGGTTGTGGGGCAGGCATGCCACCCAGCACGTGGGGGAGACCAGGGCTTTGGGAGCATGCTGGCAGTGGGGTGGAGGGGGGTGTCTGGAGACTCTGAATCCCACAGCCAGCAAATGTGAGGCTCCTGGAGACAGGGTCATGGACTTGAGGCTCCGAGACCCTGAGGATGTTAGAATCTTCATCGCAGTAGCTCCCAGTGATGGAGGGCTCACTGTGCCAGGCACGGTTCTGAGAACTCACACAGCTTAACTCTTTCATCCTCGCTCCGTCCTAAGACGGGGATTCTATGATCATCCCCACTTACAGATGGGGAAACTGAGGCTCGGCAAGGTTAAGTAGCCCGTCAAACACACAGCTACCAGGTTTTTGTCTTAGGAAATAAGAACCCTGG